TCCATCAACCTGGCTCCACTATTGGCCCAGCCCTTGTGATTCCCTGAGATCCTGCCCCACCCAACTCCAGGCCCACCCAAGCTGTTTCCAGTGGCTTTTCCATGCAAATGGCCTGTCTTGGCTCACGATTCAGATTTTCCTAAAAATCTCTCAAACAAGCAGCATCTGGCCTCAATGTGCTCTGTACCTCTCGCTAAGTGGCCCCAGGCCTGGCACTACCAGCAGCCGACCTTGGTTCACAGCTTGGCCTCACCTGGGAACCTCCAAGCCTCCAGTGCAAGTAGCAGCCATCTGCAGATTGCTTTATAGGTCATGCCGGGTGCCCCAGGCAGAACACAGGTGGTGGCTGACTTTGGCGTGCACTTCCTGGGAGGCCCCAGAGCCAGTGCACCCAGTGGATAGTTTCAGACCATGTGGAAGCACCACCCAACCATCTCCACAAGTGACACACTCAAGGGGCGGACTTAGCAGGCACCAGAGCCCTGCTAAAGTAAGTCGTGCTCTGTGAGGTGGGCACCTCCACAGTGATTGGTGGTCGCAGCTAGTCCTTGCAGCTGATTGATCTGGGGGTATATACCTCCCATTAACATACCAACAGCAATCAAGGCTCAACTAAAACAAGAGGGTGCACCCAGCCCACATGGGGAGCAGGGTACACCTGTAGTGCTCAGCTTGGGGGATTGGGGAGGCTGTGCCACTGGACCTTACAGAAATTCATCTTGTTTGGGACTCTCTACACTTCCTGGCCCACACCAAGACACATCATAATTAAAATGCAAAAGGTTAAAGACAAAGAGAGAATATTAAAAGCAGCAAGAGAAAAGCCATTAGTTACCTACACGGGAGCTCCTGTAAGACTGTCAGCTGATTTTTTTTTTTTTTTAAATATATGTTTATTGATTTCAGAGAGAGGAGAGGAGAGGGAGAAAGAGAGATAGAAACATCAATGATGAGAGAGTCACTGATCAAGCCCACAACTCGGGCATGTGCCCTGACCGGGAATCGAACCCTGATTGCCTGGATCCTAGGTCGACGCTCAACCATTGAGTCACGCCCGGCCGGGCTGTCAGCTGATTTCTCAACAGAAACTTTGCAGGCTATAAGGGAATGGCAAGAAATATTCAAAGTGATGAAAAGCAAAGGCCTACAACCAGCAAAACTATCATTTAGAACTGAAGGACATATAAAGAGCTTCCCAGACAAGAAAAAGCTAAAGGAGATCATGACCACCAAATCGGTCTTACACAAAATGTTAAAGGTGTTCTTTAAAAAGATTAAAAATATGAATAATATAATGGCAATACATACAGACCTATCAATGATTGAATCTAAAAAACAAAATAAACAAAAAGCAGAACAGAAACAGACTCATAGATAGAGAACATTTTGGCTTGCCAGATGGGAGGGGTGTTGAGTGAAAAAGGTGAAGGGATTAAGTACAAATTAGCCCCGCTGGGCATGGCTCAGCAGTTGAGCATCCACCTAGGATCCACGAGATTGAGGTTTGATTCCTGGTCAGGGCATATGCCCGGGTTGCGGGCTCCATCCCCAGCAAGGGGCGTGCAGAAGGCAGCTGATCAATGACAGCTCTCTCATCATTGATGTTTCTCTCTCTCCCTTTCCCTTCCTCTCTTTCTGAAATCAATAAAGATATATATATATAAAAAAGTAAGTACAAATTATAAGTTACAGAATAGTCATGGTGATGTGAAGCACAGCATAGTAAATATAGTCAATAACATTCTAATAACTATGTATGGTATTAGATGGATACGAGATTTATCGGGATGATCACTTAGTAAGTTATATAATGTCTAACCACTGGGGTGTATACCTGGAACTAATATAATAGTATGTCAGCTGTAACTGAAAAAATGATTTAAATAAAGAAATATTCAAAAGAAAGGCTTTAGAAATGTAAAATAATTATTAGCTCAAGGGATATGTGTTGATATAAGGTCTTGGAAATCTTGCTGACCCTCTATCTGTATAATAGAGATAACAGCATCTACCTCATAAGGTTGTTATGAGGATTAAATAAATTAATACAGACATACCATACCTTGGAGATATTGCGGGTTCATATCCAGACCATGTAATAAAGTCTCCTGTAATCCTTTCGCTCGTGGAGAGTCTTGCCTTCAATTTGTAAAACATGCAACATCTGTGAAGGGCAATAAAGTGAAGCACAATAAAATGAGGTGTGCCTGTATATAGGGTGGGGCAAAAGGTTTATAGTTGTTTGTATGGAAATACAATAATTAATAAATAATACAACAAACTGTTTCGTGTATACTTACAACTACAAGCCTACTCTTGCCCACCCTATGCAGTGCTCATAAAGTGCATGACACAATAGTCAACACTATAAAAATGTTTATTACTCCTGCTATATTTCTAACTAAATTTTATTTTCAAAATACCTGCTATTCCTGTATGACTTCTAGCATTATTCAGCAACTTGAAATATGGAGTATTTAATTTGTCCGTTTTGGTTAATTCTAAATCACCAGAAAACAGTTTAACACTGTATGTTGCCCTGGGCGGTGTGGCTCAGTTGGTGGTTGTCCCGTACACTAGAAGGTGGCGGTTGGATTCCCAGTCAGGGCACATACCGGGTTGGGGACTCCATTCCTGGCTGGGGAATGCGCGGGAGGCAGCTGATCGGTATTTTTCTCTCACATCGATGTTTCTCTTTCTCTCTCTAAAAATCAATTAAAAAACACACCCCAAAATGCTGTATGTTGATGAAGCCTCCAAGAGGGGCATGGAAACGGAGTGATCAGAAGGAAGAGCAATGGTTTTGAGGAAGTCCTTTGCAAACCCTAGCAGAAGCATCCTTAACAAGGAACAATGACTACGAAAATGGAATAAATTGCCCGAAACAGTCAATTAAATACAACCACCATTTTTTACTCATTATAGTATTTCTCTTCAGGCATAGAAATAAACAACTTACTTTAACATCCATTTAATATCACTTTTATCTTTTAAACTAAGAAGGGGGAATAATCAGAAAGCAGAAAATATGCACACAGTTAAAATGCTACAGCATTTTAAATATATCAGAGTTATATGCAGGATGTATTTGTCTTAGCTATGTGCAAGACTAATAATACGATGTGCCAAAAATTCCAAAGGAAAAAAATAACTTGAGCAATGAGGAGACAATTCATAATTTTAGCAGGCAACCTATAAATGAAAAAAAATATATGTTAGCCCTTTTGTGATTTACAAAGCACGAGCTGAATATGGCCATATATATTTAAATGCAAAACATACAATAGGGTAAGTTTTGAACACTTTATGAGGTGTTATATTGAAATATAGAGCTTATAAATTAAACTTTGTTACACAGTGATGTCTAAACATGAAAAAACACCTGCTTGAGCTTTATAATGCAATAAATTTTAATTGTATATGTTAAATACAAACACAATAACCTCAGCTTGTACACACTTATATGGCATCCTGTGGCTATTGTTGCCCAACTTGTTTCTACATAATCTTGACATGAAAGTGTAGAGTAAGAATGGATGTTTACAGAATATAAATTAGATTTGGAGATGAAAACAAAAAAAAAGTACTTCTCTTTTGTCTAAACACTTGCATAGGTACGACTTACCGTAGTTTACGGAACACTAATTAACTGAGTATCAACCTAAGAATTATTTTTATCAGTCCTTTATGCCCAGAATTTAAAATCTGAAGTGTTTAAACAGTTAAAACAAGCAAAAGGAAAAAATAATAGTCCCTTATCTCTGACCAACTCCCACCCCATCCTGATCTCCTTCCACAGAGAGAACCTTTGCAATCCTTTTAGCTATTTTTATGGCAGACACCTGTATATTTCTAATATCTGAAATACTCTTGTCTCTCGAATCATCCATTTTAAACAGATAGGTTCTGAATCTCGGCACCACCGTTTATTAGCTGTGACCTTCAGCAAATGACTTAACTTCATAGGTTTTAGTTTTCTTATCTATAAAACATATAATAGAACCTACCACATAAGGCTATTGTGAGGATTAAATGGTACAAAATCACACGTGTGATATAATATCTTGCTCAAAAATAGAGATCATAGAGTGATAACTATTATTATTGTCATTGTTACCGTATGATATGTGAAGACTTCAATTCTCTTAAACACCCCTTTCTGCATCCTCTTGAATCAGTTACAGAGTACTAGTTCTGTTAAGTTACATTGTTTGCCTCGTGCCCTTTTTACATCTGAGTCAACTCAACGAGTCTCGCTTTTTGTCCCTATCAAAAAGCAATTTATGAAGGGCTGGCAAGCTAGCTGAGAGTACTGCACCACTGGCACATCCTGGGTAACTTCCATTTGCCAAATTCCAAACCACTGGGATTTCAGGACTATGAGAAAGTGGATCACAGAACTTTTACTGTAGTTTTAAAATTATTTTATTCAAGCCTCTGAAACATACCACTACCTATGACACATCTTTATTACTCACCTCTTGCTTCTATTTCTACTGTTTTCACAGCTAAGGATGTTTAAGATGTTACACATTGAATATTCCAGTTTTTCTTTATATGCAATCTTTTTTGGAATTGACACCATTGCTTTGCACAGGTTTTCCCAGTGATTTGATTTAAAATCAGAGCTTCTATTTAGAGTTCATAATTCTAAGGATCTCTAATTAAGTTGTGAGAATAACACAATCTGCATATGGTGGATACCTGAGATGTCTAAAATTTTAAAGAACATTTATGTAGCAGTTTATGCTCAGAAAAAAAAAGTTTGGTGAGTCAATCTATTTTAACAAAGTACTATAGCAGACTGGAGGGATTTTAAAGGAAGAAACAAGAAGTCAGTTATAATAATTATTGAAGAATCACACATTAATTCATTTTTATAACTCTTAATCTTAAGATAAGGTATTTTCATTCAGCCAGTGAAATAATATTAGATATGATATATTAAAAAATTCTCAAATTCTCCCTCATTAAATTTTAAGTTCTCCAAGGATAAGGAATATGTCTTAATTACTTTTTATTTCACCATTGTGTAGGATGATGCCAGACTAGTACAGGTACAGAGATGCTCAATAAATATTAGCTGGATAAATAACTTCTGCGTAACTTGGTCTCAGATTGGCAAGTGTCTAACAGTAAAACACCAAATACAATATTAACATAGCGTTGTTCTTTCAGCATAAACAAAGCACACTAGTTGGTACATTAGATTTTATGCTTTATTGATGTGACATTTAGTAAAAATCTAATATACATTAATTATCCATGGTCCCTTATATTTAAAGTTCTTTTTCACAAGCACACTGCAGCCATACTATAAACCAACATTTTTGAAGACAATAAAAAATAAAATACATTAAAGATCTAATAATTCATGTTGAGATATTGAGATGGATTTTAAATATTCTCATTACACTCAAGTGTAGATCTTTACCAAGTTGAAAATTCTGGTGAGCCCTTCTGAGGATTTATTTTCATATAATTAATGGCCAGATTAGCATACATGAAGTCCTATATTCTTATAAAGTTTATTCAGTCCATAAATGCAAGCAGATTATAAAGTGTTCTTAAAATACACTACCATCTTTAAAAATATTTAACATATTCAGTTTGCCTTAAGACATGTTCCTTGAATTGACAATCGTTGAGGTTTCCGAATACTATCTTTTCATGTCTTCACAGCCTGGATCTGATCTGATAAAAAAAATAGACAAGAAATTATTGGTCTCTACAGGGAAAAATCTATTTTTTAACATAATCTGAGACAAATCTAGAACAACACAGTAGAAACCTATGCATACACTTTTTATAAAAAAGGCATAATTCATACTATAGTTTTCATTTTTTGTCGAGTCGTATATGCACAGAGTCAGTCAATTAGTTCTATGTGGCTGCATAAAAAATGAGCAGTCCCTGGCCTCATCGCCTTCAGCCTTTGATAGGCAACTACTTCCAACTCCCTTTTAGGCGATTTCCTCTTTATCTCTAAATAGTATACTTTATTACCTGTTGAAATACCAGTTCCTTCCATTTAATATGAGGTTCCAGCTCTCACCTATCCCTATGCTGCTCTCTGCAACCCCATAATGCTTTCAATACTCCCATTGTCGTAACAAAGTAATGTGGTCATCATCAGTGACTGTCAGTGCTAGTCACAGCTGAGACAGGTGTATGCCCCAGTTACTTCTGTATTCAACTACATTTTGTTTTCCCTGGAGGTAATAATTGTTCCTTACCCCCCAACCCCGCCTCTCTGCTTTTTATGTACTGCTTCAATCCCACTACTCTACACTGGTTAAACCTTTATTATGAAGCACATTACAGAGTCTATCAATTTCATCAGAGCCTTCCAAAACTCTCTAATCTGGACCAGTTATTTTCACAAGAGATCTTTCACTCTCATTCTAGCATCTTCACTGTCATCCAGAGGATTCCTCCCCCACACTCTTGTACTTATTTTCCTGTTTCAGGACCCTTGATTTTTTCTCCTTGGTTTATTTCCTCATTTTCAATGAGTACTCCTCAGTGGCTACCTTAGTAAAAGGTACAGAACATACATTCTTGAGACTTTCTGTGGCTGAAGATGTCTTAATTCTACAGTCACGATACATTGATACAGCCGGAGAACATAATTCCCTAATTTCCTCCTTGGACTGTTCCAGGTACCACCCAATTATGTTACAGCTTCCAAGTGTTGCTGTCGGATGCTATTCTGTATCCTTTACACGAAACCTTTTATTTTCTTCTCATGAAGTTTGTAGACTCTTCCACTGACTTCAGTGTTAACTGTTAATAATGATGTGCTTGCTACGGTTAGAATATTTTTATCCACTGCATTAAGCTCTCAAGAGAACTTTCAACTAAAGACTCATCATTCAGTTCTTGAAAATACTACTTGATGATTTTTCTCCCCTCTATTTTCTGTGCTCTTTCTGAAATTCCTGTTATTTGGATATCAAGCCCCCGAAACATGACCCCTTACTTTTTCTTTCCACTTTTCTAGTCTTTTTTTTTTGTTCTACTTTCTGAGAGTACCTCTATTTTATCTTCTTTTAATTGGGTTTTTGATTTCTACTATTCTATTTTCCAAGAACTCATCTTTTGGTTCTTTGTTGATACTCTACTAGTTTTTTGAAATGTTTTCCCTATATAAATTCTACTTCTAACCTACTTTTCCTGTTTATGTTCCATAATTCATAATGTTTTGGTCCTCAAATGCCTGGGGATCCTTTGCAATCTTCTCATATGCATGAGTGAACACTAAAGCTGACTGGAATGTTGATACGCGTGCTAGGCTTGTCAAATGTCGTCTTCATTCTAGTGTCTCTAGCTAAGTCATTCCCTTGGGAATCTCTGGTGTTAATACCACTAGCTCTTTCCTCTTAGGCTGGTATCATTCCTCAAAGATCACTTTCTATCTCGTGCCTACTGCCAGTGTCTTCTGGGAGAAGCAGAAGGCAGAAGAGGGTTGTAATATTTGGTATGAAAACTTCCAGTTACTCCTTGTTTACAGTTCAGCACTACCACACACAGTTGTGCCTGCTGTTCTCCAGTCCAGAGAAACTCCCTTTGACTCTCTGCAGAGAATGAACCTTCAATCTCCTTTTGCGTTAAAGATGTAGGGATGCGTCTTCTCTTTTCAGCCCCACCTCTCTTATTTCCAGTTTCCACCAATATGGAGCCTTTGAGGGGCTGTGTAATGTAAATTAGCTTTCCAACTTTCCCCAGTGCTAGCTTAGAATTCAGCTCCCTCTGCTAAGAGAAAAGGCCTTTAAGTCTGTTAGGTCATTCAGCGTTCATCGGATCTGTTAAGTTATTCAACATTCACTGGATGTCCAACTTCTAAAATCTGGTTGCAGTTTTTGTCATTCTCATTCTTTTTGCCCTTAGGGTTAATGTCTTTCAACAGAAGTCCCTCTACTGTTAGTGAGAGTTGAGGGGGATGACAGCGTGTTCAATCCCCTTTCACTGACCACCCATGTGAACAGGTTATGTCTTACATTAAAATCCGAAAGCACTGCCCTTTCCCCTACAGATAAAGTGATAAAATGAGTAAGCTTCCTTAGTCACGTGGGAGGATTTCTTTTTATAAATATCTCACTTCAAAGTTTCAGAGCTAGGAAACAGCTTATACCTTCTCTGCTGGTTTAAAAAAATACTTCAGTCTACTCAGGGATTCTTGTCTTTGGGCTGTGATAAACAGGTAATGACTGGGGATCCTTCCAAAAAAGAATGGAATCATGGCACAAAATGTGTCATTTAACATTTCACCCCAGAAATGTCAGCCTTAAACTTAATAAAATTAAATTGGTCCAAGGACCTTCTTGTTTACCAAGCTAGGCAATTTCAGAATTTTGGAAACAAAATGAAGAGATAAATTCAGAACATCTTTCACCGTTAGATTTACATAAAAACTTTTGGATAGTAAGTTAGTTAAAGGTACAGCAAGTCTCCCATATACTGTTACCTATTTTGTAAAGTAAGTTTTTGCCTCTTTTCAAATCCAGAGAGAGAAGAGTATCACATTGCAAACTGTTCGCTATTGCATAAGAAATAAAAACAAAGGATTTCCTATTCATACTTTTTAATCTATGTACAAAGTTTCATTATTAAATAGAGCAGTTAGATAAAAGGGTGCATTTAATATTTGAGTGTTTTCTTATGCTAGGGATTTTAACACATACACTGTTTCATTTAATCTGTACAACAATTTTGACATTTTATTTTTTAAATTTTACAGATGAAAACAAATATCTTCACAAGAGCTGTTAATTAATAATAAGTAGTGGAATGAATCTGCTAGACTCAAAAGCCCAAGTTCTTTTTAACTACTATTACATGATGCCTACATAAAACTGGGTTACAACTAACTTACCTTGCAGAGAACTGTTGTAACAGTTACATAAAAAAATATGGCAACATAAGGGCACAAAAATATTTTCAATAATGTACTCTCCTTACAAAGACTTGGGAGGTAAGATGCAAAGATAATGAATCAGAAAAGTCAGAGAGACACAAAAATTAGGTGACAGGACCAGAGCTGGCAAGTGGCATAGTGATGTTGGATTGTTACTGACACCTAGTGGCCTCATTGTTACAAAAGAAAACCAAAAAAAAAAAAAGGGAAGAGAGAGCTACGCTAGAGCTGTGATGTAAAATTCAGATAACTATATCAACATATTTTTAGTGGTTACTGTGCTCTGAATTACTTTGTTATGAACAATAGTGGGGTTTGATCCATGATATCTTTATTGTGAGCAATAATAAGCACTTGTAAATAAGAATCAAGGCTGAAAATATGCTTTTGGTATCTTCTTTGGAATGTTCCTCTGCAACCAAGGTTTTATGTGGGAATCAGATCCTTAACTTTGCCCACTTCTTTACCACAATCTAAGACACTAAGTTGGTGTATTCACAGCAAATTTCCAGTAGTTATTCTGAGAATCACTAGAGGTTTTCAATTAAGCTTCACTTAATTATAAAATTATAACTAGAATGTTCTTTGTAGTTTATTTTTTAATGTAATTTTTTTTAGCTTCTTTCTTTTACTGACTTTTTTAGAGAGAGGGAGAGGGAGGGAAGGCGGGTGGTAGAGGGGGAGGGGGAGGGAGAGAGGGAGAGGGAGAGGAAGAGGGAGGAACATTAATGTGAGAGAGAAACATCGATCCATTGTCTCCCACATGCACCCCAACTAGGGATGGAACCTGCAACTTGGGTATGTGCCCCAACAGGGAATTGATCCCACAACCTTTTGTTGTATGGCACAACACTCCAACCAACTGAGCCACACTGGCCAGGGTGTTCTTTGCAGTTTAATGGTAAATGTTATGATGGCTACAAAAGAGAAAGATTGATAAAAGTCTGTGCAGTTAACTATAACGCCATATTTTACTGATAACACATAACAAATATGTCAGATGTACATTTGGTACTTTGAACCAAAGAAACATATCATTGTATGGGTAAGCAGGCTACTCTTGCCATACATAAATGTAGTATTTCTTTGGTTCAAAGATCCACCATGACATGCAGAGGAGGAAAAGGAATCACACGCGACTAGAATTAAATGCCAGTGCAGCCCTGGCCAGGCGGCTCTATTTGAGTGTCGTCCCACACACCAAAAGGCTGTGGGTTTGATTCCTGGTCAAGGCCCATACCTAGGTTGCGGGCTCAATTCCCAGTATGGTGCACATGGAGGCAGTGGATCGATGTCCTTTTTTTTTCTCTCCCTCCTCTCTAAAAGTCAATAAAGACATATCCTCGGGTGAGGATTAATAACAAAGTAAGCCCACACCAACCTAGGAGAGCTACGCGGATCAATAACATAGAGCTGCAATATACAAAACACCAACAGAATGCCAGCATTCACAATTCTAAATGAGTGCTAAAGGTTGTGCAAACACGTTATGTGCAAATGAAGATGTATGGAGTAAAGCATTCTTAAAATACGTACCATGCAGACTTATTTTAGTAACTGACAGTAAGGCCTAAAATTTGTCGCAAACTTCAAATGTGCTTCTATTACTAGATTTTGTAGAAATTTACTGCTATAAATTAAAAATATTTCTACAGTTGTCACGTATATTGACTGTAAAAATGCAAATACTTATTTAAATAAATCCTTTAGAAAAATGTAACAGAAGTAAATGGAGTAAGATACTGGATACTTACTGTAGTGTATTTTCTGACAGCAGAAATAAATGGAAACAAGAGGGGGGAAAAGGCAGTGATATAATAAAAATAAAATGTTAAAGAAGGAAAGAAAACGTGAATGAAAAGGAAATACAGGCTGAGGATGGGCTGTGCTCTGATGTACCTTGAAGCCAGTCTACGCCTTCTTGCAGCCCTTCTCCTTTCACGGCATCGCTAGCACTGAAATTAGACCCATGAGAAATGTCCATTTCATTATATCGTAGAACTATAAGGATAAATAACTACAATTTTCCATATGGCAAATTAATATATTCTAGTAACACATATATGAGCAAAGCTGGTTAAGCACTGAAACTGAATGTACATAAGAAATAAAAGTCTGAGTGTTCCAGAGTAAGACAGGAGAAAATGATCCATAACTTGTATTGACATAATTTGTATTGCATTTGGAAAAGTGTTTCAATAAAATGTTATTTCAGGAATAGTACTCACACTGACATTACTTTGAGTTATTTTTCCAGTGGTGGAAAAGTTTTATAGAGTCTCCCTTCCTACTTTGCCCAGCCCCACTGACTCAAGAGCAGTTATTTATTAGAAATGCTTGACTTAGGTTGTAATTTAGCCATAGGATGCAGTGACTTTATTTGAAATGGGATTTGATTTCAAATGTTGCATAAACCTATAGGGTTTAACCTGTAATTATAACTTTGGTAAAACCAGTAGAATAAAAGAAAAATCCCAGAAGATTTCAATAATAGTTATGTACTTTTTGGCTTCAGGAACCTGGATAGGTTATTTAACTCTCCTGTCTTCAGTTTTAGCATCTGTAAGAGGGAATGTTACTATTCACCTGACATGGTTATTATGGGAATTAAATATTTGAGATATGTACATAAAACAGGGTGTTTTCATGATCTTACCATTCTCAAGATAGTAACTTAAATCCTTAATGTGATATTTTATAAATAATTATAATTAAGTTATAAACTAAAATAAAATGTAAAGGATTTTTTGAGTACCAATCTTTTCCAAGACACCAACTGATGGTTTCTCATAACATTTTACTGATCTAATAGTCATTGCATAATAGTAATTAGTATACATTATTAGATTTTCTGAATTAGGGTTCCTTTTAGTGCACTGAAGCATGATTTTAAAATGTACTAAATTACCTACAAGAGTTAATTAGATTCTAATCAAACCAGAAATTACTTCTGAGGAATTACTTATTAGATTAAGAATATATTTTAAAATAGGAAGACAAACAAACAGCATGAGGCGAACAATTATTCAAAGCAAACTATAGATTATCCATATCAATAGCAAGACATCAGTTAACTAAAATATTTGTATCAAAAAAGATCAATGTATTGATTTTATCACACACCTACAGTCCCAAACAAGACTACGGTATTGAATAAGCAATAAAATGAGGAAATCCTTTCCCTTTGGTGGAGAAGTCACTGCCCTACTAAAATCCTGCATATTTTCCTACTAATTTCCAACTGTTTGAATTCTACTTTCCTTTCAAATAAATCATAAGACCTGTAACTAAATAAAAGCCAAAGTCTTCACCATGCTCTATGAGGCCCTATGTGACACGGCCCCTGGCTATTCCTCAGGGGTTTCATGTCCTACAAATGCCCCCAGATCACTCTGCTCCGGTCAGCTTGGGTTTCTTGCTCCTCCTGAAATATCCCAGGTCCTTTCTCGCCCAATAGTGTCACTTGCTGGCCTCTTCATCTGGAAGGCTCTTCCTCCAAACCCTGTGTGAACTGCTCTCTGATCTTGATTAGACCTCAGAGAGGGAGTCTCTCTCTCATTGCTTTTTATCTTATTGCCCCACTTTATTTTTCTCCTCCTTCCCAGATGACAGTACATACATCTATTTACCTCTTTTACTATCTGGCTCCCTCACAAGATAGTAAACAAGCAAAAACATATACATATCACGCCAGGGACTGAGTCAGAGGACACACAGGAAGAACAACACTGCAATCAGATCCTGAAAATCAGAGCTAACTATATGTTTAGTACAATAGTAAAAAATAAACCATAAAAGTTTTCCTTTAATTTTCCAGACTTTATGTCTCTCTAATCCTTTATCATCCAGTAAGTTTACTTGTGCCTGAGGCAAGAGATGCAACACTTTATCTCTACATTACTGTACGTTACCTTTATCTCTGAAACTGAAAAGGATAAATGTATTTTCAATGTCATACATGCTTTAAAAATAATTGCAAAAAATAAAACAACAAACTTAACAAATGAAGCAGTAATGGAAACTTAGTGAAATGTCCAGTTTGAATTAAGAAGTTTAAAGAAATACTTGGCATTCTTCTATAAGTTATACAGAAAACACAGAAACTGGAAATATAATATTCCACATCTTTATAGCATCAGGATATTACTTTTTCTCTCACTGAAAAATATTTAGATGTCACAACTCAATAATTGTTTTAAATTTCAAGTGCTAGTTATTTCAAGTATAGATTTTTCCATTTGCAAAGTTAACTTCTTCAAAATTAAAAGCAGGACTGCATCTTTTACTAATTAGACCCATTTTTTGAATGTTGTACTTTCTATCAAAGCACTCACAATACTTAATACAATGGAAAAATTTAAAATTATTCTACTTTAGACATTATCAGTTTAGGTAGGATTTACCTAAATGATGCAGAGAAAAGCTAAGGTTCCATCTTAAGATATTTCTCTACCCCAAATCCCTCCTCTCTTTACCAACAAAATACCACAGAACCTCAAATTCCAAGTCAAGAATCATTTAGTAAATGCTGACTTTTATTCTGTTCCAAAGTAAGGAGGGTTTTACTTGAGATATGCAGTGTTTCCCTCCTGGGTAGAGGTGCTGGAGGCCTTGAGTACTGAGGAGATTCAAGGGCTTCCTCAGCTCTCTTCCAGGCTATTCCTCTTTCAGCACCAAGGTTAGCTCTCAGAGTTAGTCTCTGAGCTCTATGAACTCCTTGCTTCACATTGTTTCTTCTTCTAGAGGTAGTGGGTTTCTCTGCCTCTGTGTTCAGCCTTTCTCCACAGATACCATCTTATAAAAAGGGAAAATCTAGAGAGAAGGATACCTTGCAGTGGTGGGGAGGTAAGTGGTGGACAGAGGGAGCTTAATGACAGGTAGTGGCAGGCGCTAAAATACTATCTAATAAACAATGTAAAATAATTTCAGACACTACTTATGAGTTCAACTTAATTAGTATGTTCAAGCAAGATTAGTATTTCCATTTATATTTATTCATATAAGCAAATATTTATTGTGAACCTACTAAGTACCATGTACTCCAAGGGTAACAGAGAGAAGAAAGCTGATAAAACCCTAGTTCTCATGGTACTAATGCAATAGTGTAAAAAGACAGACTATAAAACAAAGGGGAAAAAAATGAAGAGGCCTCATGGCAACAGAAAATGCAAAGAAAGGAAAAAAATGAGGCAGGGTAAGGCAGAGTGATATTTTAGAGAATTATCAGGGGAGGTCTCTCTCCTGAGGAAGTGCAACAGCAAGCCAGGAATATTACTTTGCAGAATGATTTAGACAAAGGGAGTAGCAAGTGGAAATGCCCTGAGATGGGATTGTGGTTGATTGATTCAATGTGTAGAAGGAAATCAATGTGGCTGAAGTTGGGTGAGTGAGTAGGCTGTTTAAATTTATTCTTTTAAAGAGTTGTTTATATTTTTTTATCCCCCCAAATATTTGAAAGGTTTTAATAGTAATAAATTCATGAACACCTGAAATGCCACATTCTATAAAACCAAATCCTTAGCTTACACACCCCCGTGCTAGGTCACTTATAAAATGAGCTTGAAAAAGAAACACTGAAGCTTGGAGATTTTTTCAAAATGATAAAATGAAAAATAAATCTAAAACTTTACCAAATGTGCCATGGCTTATCTTTGATGTTTTCTAAACACAGCAACTGAGACACCTTCACAGATGTCACTGCATCTCTTAAGTCCATTTTGTTTGCAAAGAATAAGATTGGTATTCGGCGGTGCTTAATATCTGAAATAGAAAATAAGGCCATCATCATACTTCCAGCCTTTCAGTCATTTCCCCACAAATCCTTAAAATTGAAATTCACTAAAATTGTTTCCCAATCACTTCTTTCTATACCACAAATGCATAAACTTTTAAAGACACAGACTGTGAGGCATATCTGTGTGATACGAGAATTTAAAAAACACTTCTTCCAAGACTACCTGCCTTCTGGTTGGAGCTTTAACACAAAGGCAGGTGAGGTGGATGTAGGAGTCTCATTAAGCAGTCACTGAGTAGCACCTACAAAGGTGTCAAATATTAGGTTTGTTTCATTTTTATTGTCAACACAAAGGAGGCAAATTTCAAATAGAAGTAGATGAAATGGATCCTGAGTTTAGATTTTAATCACAGTATTATAGGTAACAAGCTAGACATTTTAAGATATTTTTACCTTGTTCGAATGTTGGAAACATTTTCCCCTGTTTTGCATAGATAATTCATTTAAATAGTTCAAAATTCAGAAGACACAGAATGGTATGCAGTAAAAGAATGTCCCTCTCACCTTTGTCCCAGGCCATTCACTCGTCCTCCTTAGAAGAGGCAACCCATAGGCAACCATTATATGAAGTTTTTAGAAATATTTTATGTATTTGTAAATAATTATTATATATGATTCTTTATACAAAGAGTAGAAAACTATTCTCATTTTTTATACCTTGTGCTTTTCACTTAATTTCATATCTTGGAGACTATCCATTATTAGTACATATAGAGTAGTTTCTTCATTATTTTAACTATTGTGGAATATTTTGTCTTTTAGTACTATGTGCCATAATTTATTTAACCAGATGCAAATGACATATATTTATGTTGCTGTCAATATTTACAACTATAAATAATGTTGTGATGAATAAAATGCAGAACTTTTTTAAATGGTCCAGTATGTCTGCTGTATAAATTTGAGAAATGGAATTGCTGGGTCAAAGGATATGTAAATTGCTATTCTGATAGATAGCGATTACCTATCTAACTGCCTTACCTTAAAAATTGTATCAAATCACACTTTAAACAACATTGTATAAGAGTGTTTCCAGTGATACATAAAAAGTACTATGAGAATGTGTTTACTTACCCTGTTCTGAGAAAAGTCAAGAATCTTTCTATACATTCCAAAGATGTTTATAATTCCTTTTGAATGAACAATCTTGGCATATCGTTTTCCCATTTTCTATTAGTTTTTATTTTCTCATTGATTTGTAGAAATGGATTAAGTAGAAAGGAAATAAGCCTTGCAGCTATGATATGAAATACAAATAGTTTCCCTTGCCTGCCATTTGCCTTTGACTGCTCATGGTTCATTTTGCAATTCAAAACTTTTTATGGAGTCATAGTCATTGATTTTCTTTCTTTCGTTTTTTTTTTTAGGATTCTGGGTTTTGTGTTAATAGTTAGAAAGGCCTCTTCTTGACCCAAAATTATTTTAAAAAATCTCCCACAGTTTCTTCTACTGCTGTAATAGTGTAATTTTTACATTTAAATTAGTCCAGCTGGAATTTATTCTGGAGCAGAGAATGTAAGAATAGATAAAAAAGCAACATAACTAAATGATGTTTATAAGAAACACACTTTGAACACATGAACAAGGTGGAAGTGAAAGGATGGAAATCATGCATGCTGGCATGGCTACACTACTCTATCAGACAAAGTAGCTTTAAAAGATGAAGGGTATTATCAAAGAAAAAGAAAGGCATTAAAAATTATAAAATGGTCAATTAATCTAGAAGACAAAAAACAATTTTAAGTGTGTTTGTATCTAATAAACAAGCTTCTAAACACATAAAGCAAAACTTGACAGTATTAAAGGGGAAATACAAAGAAATCCACAATCATAGATACTTCAACATCCCTCTCTCAGAAACTGTCAGAAGAAACAAAAAATCAGCAAGAATGTGGAAGATAAGAGCAACACTATCAACTGTCATTTATAGAACTTTTCACGCAACAACAGAAAAATACATTCTATTTAATTGTAGGTGGAACACTCACCAAGTGAGACCATATGTGCTGGGCCATGTATTTTGAAGGATGAAATTATACAGAATGTTCTTTGATCAAGTGGAATTAAATTAAAAATCTATAACAAAAAGATACCTATAAAATTCCCCCATAAAAATCTATAACAAAAGATACCTACAATTATTCCCCAATAAATAATATACTACTAAAGATTCCAAGAGTCAAAGGAGAATTCACAAGGTAAGTTAGAAAATACTTTGAACCAGATAATTTAAAAAAAAGTTATCAAAATTTGTGTCATGTAGCTAAATCCTTAGAGAATATATATTGCTTTAAATGCTTATATTAGGAAAGGAAGGTATAAAATGCTTATATTAGAAAAGGTGTAAAATCACTTCCATCTGAAAAAGAGACAATGAAATACAAGGTAAGTAGAGACAGTTCATAATAAATCAAGAGTAGAAAGTAATGACAAAAGAGGAAATTTAAAAAGCCAGAAGTTCTTAGACCAATAAACTTTTTAAAAGACTGAGCAAGAGGAAAGGGAGGAAACATAAATTACCAATATCAGGAAGGAAAGAAGATATATCACACAGATCTTGTAGACATTAAATGGATAATGAGAGGATGTTATAAATAATGTTATGCCAATAAATTTGACAACTTAGATACATTAATAAATTTGGTCACAAATTAGCAAAAGTTACCCAAGAAGAAATATACAGCTTTAATGGTCTTACATCATTCAAGGACTGGAATCCATAATTCATGCCCCTAACACCCTCAACACACACATCAAATACTGACACAGATCCCTTCACTGTTATATTCTAACACTTAAGGGAGAAATAACACCAATTCTACACAAATCCAAAAACAAAAAAGAAAAAGAGTATATATACTCTCCAACTCATTTTATGAGGTCTCGGTAACACTGATACAAAATCAGATGAGGACATTACAAGGAAGGAAATAAACCCAAACCAGTGACGTCAGCAGCATGTCAACATGAGGGGATCTCCAGATCTCTCCCCCTGAAGTTATAGGTGGGACAGCTATAACAACAAAGGATTCCCTGCTTAACATACAAATGTGAGACATTGTGCATATACCTAATGGTAACCACACACACACAAAATCTAGGACTGAGATACGTAGCATAAAAAAAGAGGAAACTGAGGGAAAAAAATCATAGAATACTACCAAACTAAAATAACAGACAGACACTAGGGTTAGGGTTAGGGTTAGGAACCAGAAACACATAAAGGTGTAATAGACTATCTTCAATAAATGGTGCCAGGAAAACTGGAAAGCCACATGCAAAAGAATGAAACTGGATTACAGTTTGTCCCTATATACAAAAATTAACTCAAAATGGATCACAGACCTAAATATGACACCCGAAACAATAAGTTACATTGAAGAAAACATAGTTACCAAACTTACAGACCTTGGTCATAGAGAACATTTTATGAACTTGACCCCAAAGGCAAGGGAAGTAAAGGCAAAAATAAATGAATGGGACTATATCAAACTGAAAACCTGCACAGCAAAACAAACTAACAGAACAAAGAGGCAGCCAACCAGATGGGAGATATTTGCAAACAGTAGCTCCAACAAAGGTTTAATTTCCAAAATATATAAAGAACTCATAAAACTCAATACCAACCAACCAACCCAATCAAAAAGTGGGCAGAGGACCTGAACAGACACCTCTCCCAAGAAGACATATGAATAGCCAACAGATATATGTAAAGATGTTCATCCTCACTAGCAATTAGGGAAATGCAAATCAAAACTATAATGAGATACCACCTCACACCTGTTAGAGTGGCTATTATCAACAAGACAAGCAGTAACAAGTGCTGGAGGGGTTGTTGAGAAAAGGGAACCCTTATTTATTGCTGATGGGAATGTAGACTGGTACAACCACTATGGAAAGCAGTCTGGCGAGTCCTCAAAAAATTAAGAATAGAGCTAACATACGACCCAGTAATCCCTCTCTTGGGCATATACCCGAAAAACTAGAAAACATGTATTCGCAAAGATATATGCACCCCTGTGTTCATTGCCAGCACTATTCACAGTGGCCAAGACATGGGAACAACCAAAGTGTCCTGTGATAGAGGACTGGATACAGAAGATATGGTACAGGTACACGATAGAATACTGCTCAGTCATAAGAAAAGATGAAATACTGCCATTTGTAACAACATGGATGGAACTTGAGAATATTAAGCTAAGTGAAATAAGTCAGTCAGAAAAAGCTAAGGACCATATGATTTCACTCATATGTGGGATATAAAACTGAAACAGCAGTGTGGCGGTTGCCAGAGGAAAGAGGTGGGGGGGTTCTAATATATGGTGACAGGATAAGATATGACTTTGGGGCACACAGTGCTATATACAGATCTTATAACATAGAAACCCACACCTGAAACCTGTATGTTCATAGTAACCATTGTCACCTCAATAAATTTAATAAAAAAGAAACAATGGAGGCACAGAGCTTCTAGAAAACAAAAGATAAAATGGCTATAGAAAATCCTATGTCAATGATCACCGTAAATGTAAATGGACTGAACTCACCAATGAAAAGGCACAGAGTAGCTGTTTGAATCAAAAAACAAAACTCAACTACATGCTGCCTTCTGGAGCCATGTATCAGCTGCAAGGACACAGACTCAAAGTGAATGGGTGGAAAATGATACTTCAAGCACATGCCATCAAAGGAAAATGGGTGTAGCGGCACTTATATCTGACAAAATAGATTTCAAAATAAAAAAGTAACAAGAGACAAAGATGGACATTTTATAATGATAAAGAGCACAATACATCAGGAAGACATAACATTTATTAATATATATGCACCCAACCTGAGAGCACCAAAATATATAAAGCAACCACTAACAGAGCTAAAGGGAGAAACCGACAAAAATGAATATATGCACCCCTATGTCCATAGCAGCAAAATTTACAATAGCTAAGATCTGGAAACAGCCCAAGTGCCCATCGGTAGATGAGTGGATAAAAAAGCTGTGGGACATTTACACCATGGAATACTATGCAGCCGCAAAGAAGGATCTTGTATCGTCTGGGACAGTATGGAAGGACCTGGAGAATATTATGCTAAGCGAAATAAGCCAGCCAGAGAAAGACAAACATCACATGATCTCACTTATATGTGGAATCTAAAGAACTTAATAAACTGATGAACAAAACAGATTCAGCAACATGGAAGCATGGATCAGACTGAAGAATCTCAAAGGGAAGGTGGG